TCTAGCATATGTGACTTAAAATATATGAAACTTCAATATTTACAGGCCAGCACTAGGACCCGTCCTCCCATCCTTCAATCATCTGGAAGGAGAATTTGCAGGCAAGGTTAGTGACAGTGTGCTATGCAGTGATCTGTTGTAAAGTGTAGAGAAAATAATTTGTTACTCACAATAAGGTGTCAACATTTATGCATGGTTTATGTGATAGTATAAATCGGAGAGGATTCAAAGTTACACCTGTAATGACATCACTCTAATCCTATGTGTTCCCGTCTGTTTTGCCATAGGAAAAACAGGGGTGGGTTAACTGCCGGGACACTGGGAACTGTGCAGTGCAGTAGCAGCCCTGCCCGCTGATCTCAGCCATGATTTTACAATAGAAAAAAGTCCCTGGTCTCTGGTCTAGAAGGCGGACCCCAGAAGCAGACAGAGCGCAGAGTGCTCCGAGATGGGGTTTGGCTCCTCGGCAACCAGTGGCACTTGTTGAGTCTCTACCTGGGGCCTTGTGCTGGTGGAATCAGTCGACCTTCATGTGAAAGACAGAGACAAAGCAAGGTCAAAGGGAGACAGAGACACAGACAGGTCGCCTGGGCTCCTGTTGGTTCCAGGCCTTTGCAAAGTCCTCCTGCTCTTATGTTCTCTAATTTACCCCTCTATTCTTCCAATAAACTCACCATTTTTGCTTAAACCAGTTTCAGTAGGATCATATTACTTGCAGGGGGGAGGGGCGCTTGGCTTCAGCCCATTCCTAGGCTAACCAGCTGCTGGAGAAGAATGGAAGGGCTCGGACCTCTTAGTGTGGCCATGAGAAAGTAAGGAGAAAGCATGGAGCTACCGGGCTGCATGGTGGCTTCCACCTGTATTGTTTGGAGCTGTCAGTCTTCTGGAGAGGCCCCAGGGGCCAACCCATCTTTTGTTTCCCCAGGAGTTTGGTTTGAACAAAAATCCTCAGGGCTTTGCTTTTTCTGAAGCCCGTGATGATACAACACAGGCAGGAAGTGAATACTGGCTATCTCCATGGTTTCACTTATTTTTAGGCACATGGAAATTCCAACTACACATTATTTTAAGTCAAGTAAGAGGGTAGAAGTAAGAGGGTAGAAGGAGAAGTCGAAGCTAACGGCTGCCATGTTGCATGAGTTAGTGGTGCCATCCAGGAAGAGACTGTGCTGGGATACAGCCGAGGGGCCTGACTCTTCCTGGATAATCACTAGCACCCCAGCTGGAGAACTTTATTGGAATTCCCACTACAGTGAGACGAGGTTCCTAGTGAATGAGGTGTGGAAGAAGCAGGTACTGGCCCTGGAAGGTCCCACTGGAGGGTATCAGCTATGCGAGTCCTTTTCCAATGGGTGATGGGAAGAAATTAGGAGATTTTTCACATGGAAGCTCATGGAATAATAGAAGTCAGTATTTGTCAGCCTTGGAAACCGATATGGTCAGGTTAGAACTCCCTTTCTCTAAGCAATAACAAAATTTTATTCCCCAAATGAGGTCTGAAATGTTACTAATACAATATTCCTTTGTGTGAACCATCCTGTACTTCTTTTCAAAATGTAACTTTTAGGGCTGGGGATGTGGCTCAGTGGTAGAACATTTGCCTAGCAGGGAAGAGGTCCTGGGTACAATTCCCAGTAGACACACACACACACACACACATAAAATAAGTTTACTCAGGGGTAAGCTATAGTGTATTTGTCATTCAAGTCTTGGTCTAAGTTAATTTCATACCTCCAACAGCATCTAAGAACAAATTAACTGAGAGTGTGTGTTGTTAAGAAGGAAAAAGAATATTTAAAACCAGAGCAGGCCACCTTGGGACAGCCAACAATAATACGAAAAGTAACACTAGTAATTTTTGAGCATCTACTTAGATCAGCTACTTTTGAATCAGTTGTCTGGTTTAACCTTAAAAACATTTTCTAATTCTAAAGATGAGGAGAGCTATGTTCATAGAACCTAAATTCTATACCCAGCAAAAATATCTTCCATAAATGAGATGAAATAAAAATGTTTTCATTAAACAAAAAACAGGGTTTTTGTTACAAATGGACTCTATAACTTTTGCTTCAGTCAGAAGGAAAATAATCCAAAGTAAAAGGTCTGATATTCAAGAAAAAATACAGAGCCCCAAATCATGAATACATAAATAAATATGTTTTATGTTTATGAAACAATAAAATGATGTAGGGTTTCATTTTTTTATTTTTTATGTAGGGTTTTAAAAAGAACAAAAATAGCATGTACATTTGGAAGGAGGAAAATAGAAAAATTATTTTAGGAAGTTTGTATGTTTGTAAGAAGAGAAGAATAGCAATATAAATTTTGATAAGTTCTAGAGTAACCATTGAATAAACAGAAGCAGAATATACATGTTCCAAGATAATGAAGAGAAAAATAAAATATTTTTAAATCCATAAAAAGGCAAGAAAAGAGGAGAAAAATAAATATGAATCAAGAATTGAATGGGTTGTGGCTCAGTGGTAGAATGTTTACCTAGCATTTGTGAGGCACATGTAAATAAGTAAAATAAAGGTCCATTGACAACTATAAATAAATAAATAAATATACTTGTAAAGAAGAGAAGCAAAGTGGGAGCTAGCAATGCTTATCCTAAAGCTTTAGTAATCAAGACAATATGGTATTGATTCAGGTATAGGCAAAATATTACACAGGGTAAAACAGACCTTTGCCTACAGTACAGTACTAATTAGTTTGTGACCAAGGAAACATGTACCATCAGGAGAAAGAGCAATCATCAAATAAACATTGCTAAGACAACTGATTTTCCAACTGAAACAGAAGAAGCTAGATTCCTAACCATGCAACTTGCAAAAGAAATTACAATGAACTTGATAATATGGATATAACTTCATTCATAATAATATTACATTTTAAAAAGGAAAGAATTTTTTAAAGGTGACATATAGTATATCTTCTTAATAAAGTCAAAACAAATAAATTTAAACTGAACTTTTTGAGAAAATATAGAAATACAACTATATAATGAGGAGGGCAAGAGAGTGATAAACATAAACCTTAGAATGGCCACTCAGATGGGACAGAGTCCCCTTCTAGCTTCAAATGTGCTTTTAGTACTAAGAGTCTGGCTTTTGGTAGGTGGTGAATTCACAGGTGCCTATTATATTAAAAGAAAAATAATTTAAAATAAAAGGGAAAATGGAAAGAAGAACAAAAGGGAAGAAGAAGGGGTATCACGTGTGTCAAATACAACAATATGTCAAGAAGTAAGGATTCTGACTAACATACCTGGGGTCCGTATAAAAATGCTAAATTGGTCAATATACTGATTAGCAATACATACACAAGTGAAAAAAAAATTATAAAATGATGATGTATTAGTCAGCTTTCTGTCAGTGTGACCACAATACCTGACAACTACAACTTAGAGGAGGAAAAGTTAATTTGGGGCTCCTGGTTTCAGAGGTTCAGTCCAAGGTCTGCTGACTCCATCACTCTGGGCCCCACGTGAGGGAGAACATCATGGCAGAAGGGTGTGGCAGAGAAAAGCTGGTCAGTTCGTTGTAGGCAGGAAGCACAGAAAGAACGGGAAGAGCCAGGGACAGACTATATCATTCCCAAGGACACAGCCCCATCACTGACTTCTTCCAGCCACATCCACCTGCCTACATTACCACCAAGTAATCCATTCAAATTATTAATCCATCAAACATACTAATCCACTGGTGAGGTTACAGCTCTCATAAGCTAATCACTTCACCTCTGAATATCCTGCATAGTCTGACACACGAGCTTTTGGGGGAATATCTCATATCCAAACCATACAAACCATTAACACAAAGGTCAAGACAGCAGTGGCTCTTGCAGTAAGGAGAGACCTGGTGGAGGCCTTCAGTGTCCTGCCACAGAATTTCTTTTAACTCAGTGTGGGTGCCTCTTTGTTCGTTTTGTTATCATTTCTAATACACACACATACTTTGTATGCACTCTTCTGTATGTATGATTTTTTTCATAATTAAAAAG